ACCGTAAATTGATTGGTCCAAAATTAAAAAAGTTATAAACATTTAAAAAAAAATCTAGTCAGGGTTGGACTTTTCAGTCAGGGTTGGACACTTTTTGGAAATCGAAACGCATTATTGGTAAAAACGTAAAATAACATTTGTAATGTTTTTTATTCTTATTTTTTCATGTTTATCTTTACTTATTGTTTACAAATTGTAAAGCTTCATGGGTTTAAAAAAGGAACCCTATTGAAAAAAAACACGTATAATTATACGTATAATAATACGTATAATTATACGTATAATTGTACGTATAATTGTACGTATAATTATACGTATAATTATACGTATTATTATACGTATAATTATACGTATTATTATACGTACAATTATACGTATAATAAGACATACGAATTTGAAACAAGAATTATACTTATAATTATACGTATAATAATACGTATAATTAATTATACGTATAATAATACGTATAATAATACGTATAATTATACGTATTATTATACGTATAATTATAATTCTATTAAAAATAGAATAATAGAATAGAATAGATTAATTAGTAGCAAAATTGCGCTGAAAATTTTTAGAAATTTTAAAATGCAAATTAAATTTCACGAAAAAAAATATCGTCGAATGTCAATTCAAGCAGTCACCCATCCAAGTACTAACCGCGTCCAACGTTGCTTAACTTCTGTGATCTGATGAGAACTTGTTCCTTCGCCTTGGTGTTTCCGCTGTCTTGTCTTGATTAATAACTTTGTCGTATAAGTATCACTAAAAGTGAGGTTAGGTGCGATACAATACTTATACGACAAAGTTATTAATCAAGACAAGACAGCGGAAACACCAAGGCGAAGGAACAAGTTCTCATCAGATCACGGAAGTTAAGCAACGTTGGACGCGGTTAGTACTTGGATGGGTGACTGCTTGAATTGACATTCGACGATATTTTTTTTCGTGAAATTTAATTTGCATTTTAAAATTTCTAAAAATTTTCAGCGCAATTTTGCTACTAATTAATCTATTCTATTCTATTATTCTAGTTTTAATAGAATTATAATTATACGTATAATAATACGTATAATTATACGTATTATTATACGTATTATTATACGTATAATTAATTATACGTATTATTATACGTATAATTATACGTATAATTCTTGTTTCAAATTCGTATGTCTTATTATACGTATAATTATACGTATAATAATACATATAATTATACGTATAATAATACGTATAATTATGCGTATAATTATACGTATAATTATACGTGTTTTTTTTCAATAGGGAATGAACTCAAATTACAAAAAAACGCTTTATTGTTCCAAATAACTCAATGAAATGATGAACAAAATTTATACAATTTAAGTATTATTTTTCTAATATCTTTGGCACAATTTTGCACTGAAATATCAATAAAATAAAATTTATTTATAAATTGTGTCAAATTCATAATTAATATGGGTGTCCAACCCTAACTGTAGAAAGTGTCCAACCCTAACTAGAAGCATCATTTTCGAATTGTGCTAACCATAATTTCACTTTTTTTCTTCTTAAATTATGTACCCCACAATACATTCAATAAGCTTACCTTGCCGAATTCTTGCTTTTTTTTACACATTTTTTAGGTTTATTCACAAGTCAAACAAAACTTTTTTTGTCTCTTCGATTGCACCGAAGTCACAGGAGACGCTACTTTTGATTCTCCAAAAATGTAATGCCACAAAAAGTTAGGTTACACTACTAGAAGATTCGTCACGTACGCACACAGGTGGCGCTACTGTTCTTATTTAAAAAAAGCCAAGTATCCAACCCTGACAAGTGTCCAACCCTGACACTATTCCCCTACTCAAAAAGCAGTTATATTAATTAAAGAAAATAATTCCTTTTACTAGTAGTTGGATTTACTACTCTTCAAATTTTAAGTTGACAACAATTCCACACAGGAAAAAATAAGTTTTGTTTCAAACCCGAAAAGAAGCTAGTTTCAATATGGGACACAAACTAGACCGAATAGAGTTTCTAACTCGCTCATAGAATAAGTCTTACTTTAAGCCTACTGTAGGGGCTAACAATAAGCTACCTTTCGAAATAGAAAGTAGCCACAAGCCCAAACCTGGGCTTAAATTAAACCACTGCGCGGTATAAAAATTATAGCTAACATAATCTAAACTTTTATGAAACCTGTCAACACCATATTATTGAAATTTTACACAAGTTTTGAAACATCAAACAACATTTTATTGATATAAATCATACTTTACATATAAAACATAAAGAGACCAATTTATTTTTGTATATAGGGGAGACCGGGGTTACTTGGCGCACTTTTTACTCTTTGTTGTGTAACTCACTCATTTTTGCTTTTTTTAAAAAGTTAATGTATAGAAAACTTGTTGTAACATATCAGCTTTAATTTAAAAAAAAAGAAAGTTAAAATATATTTAATACTTATATTTTTATACCACTTTATTTGAAGCTGTGCAAAGCTCGCCAAGCAACCCCGGCACGGGGTTGCGTGGCGCAGCAGTGAAATTAATTAAATTATATGATTTAAAGTTTAAATAATATAAGACTTAACAAAATAAGTATTGTACTGTAATTTTACAATAAAATTATTATAAATATAAAAATTAGAAAATTTCATTTAAATTAAATGAAATTTGATTTAAATAAAATCGTAAAATTACCAAAAAATATTTTTTTTTATAATAACGCTGTGAATATTTAAAAACCATTATTCGGTTAAATTTTATGAATACGATTGTTATTGGTGCTTATTAATGTGCAAATTTCATATAATCAACTTCATTTTATTAATATTTAACAAAATTTACGGATAACCGCGCCACCTAACCCCGAATGTACTTTTGAAATATTTATTAATTTTTTATAAAAACTGTTAATATAAATCAAAAATTTTTTTTTGTTTCTCTTAATAACAAATGTATAGAGCTCAAAACTTAATATTTAAGCTCTTCTAAAATTAATTTTTTAAAGAGATATCACAAAAAAATGAAGAGGTTAAAAATTACTTTGGAGTGCCAAAATGAGTTATTTTAATCTATACTCCACAATAATTAATGAATATTAATGAAATTTTGTACAAACTTACAGTTCATTAAGTACTTCAGGCAGAATAAAGAGAAAAATTAATTAATTAAATTGTAATAAAATTATGTTGTATATATAACATTATTTTCACACTGATAACAATTAAAGCTGAATTTATAGGACACAAACATCAATTCATGATATGAAAATGTTTTATAAACATAGTTTTTAAATTTTTTATACAGGAATGAATCTGTAAGTCTTTTGAATTAATTCTTTTAGTTCCGATTAACTATAGACTCTCGTCACATTTTTGGAAAGGCGTCCATGATACTTTACACTCTTGCACTTTCGTTGTACGTCTAGTTACAACTCAATAGTATCTAGACCTCATGGGCTTGATTGAAGACTTTTAACGTCTCATTTCTAGCGAATAAAATTTTGTATTAAGGCCAAGACCACAAAGGCTTGTTTTGAATCTAATAGAACTAAATATTTGTCATATTAATATCTCGTGTTTCATTAAGACCTCCAGCACGGCTTATTTTTAGACCATTATTTGTGTTTAATAGTTATCGGCTACTTTCTAATCAAAATAAAAAATTAGACTATGCTCGGAGTAAGACTTTTTTTTCCTGTGCACTTGTTTTTACTACCTTAAGAAATAAGTTAATTTTACTACCGACCTGTAGTTGTACTTTAACTACATATTTACGTAAAATCAACTATTACTTATTAACTTCTTAAAAATAGTTACATTAACTACATGAACATGATTAGATTAACTAAAAAAGTAGTTATTTTAACTACTTTCTATAGTCAACTACCCAATGCTAGTTGAATTTCTCGTCAACATTTTTTTCAGTGTACGAGCTGAGAGCAAATTAAATTATTTGGTTATATCGTATAACCAAATTTTGGTTAGGACATAACAAACGATCATTTGGTTTTTCAGATCAAACTATTTTGTTGTGTTAAATAAATTATTTTGTTATCGTACACAAATTTTGTTGGTTCTAACCAAATGTTTGGTTGAGATAACTCTATACGACTTTGTTTCAGCCAAACCAAAATTTGGTTACAAGAACCAAAATTGCGCCCAACCAAACGATTTTGTTGCAAACACAAAATCTTTTTTTTAGTGTAATTTGTTGTATATATATATGTTATTGAAAGTCAAATAATATAAACAAATAATATAAATTAATAAATTGTTATTATTTTTTAAAACACTATTAATTTTTTTAATACATTTTCTTTTCATGTTTGATTTATATTATTTATTTTGAAATCTTCTTAATGCATAATTGAATAAAAAATATACCAGAAATACCATGGTAAATTTTTTAAAAGACCTTAAATAGCACTTTTTGAATCCATTAGACCTACAAGAAGTCTAAATAGAAGATATCTTAAATAGGGTCTAAATTTTGATTTGAGACATTATTTTATTTTCAAAATCTATTCTCAAAATCTTGGACTTTTCTAAATTTTGTTTGGTAGTAATTTTTGACTATTGCATAATTTTCTAAATTTCTAACATACGACTGACATACAATTTTATTTATAAGACAAATAATACGTTTATTTAATTTTCCTCAGTTAGGTTGAAGTAAACAGACGGGAGATTTTTCGATTTGAAAGATTGTCGACTCCAAATGGATTTAAGCCATTTCTCTTTATCTTGAAGTTACTCGACGAAAGCACAGTCTGATACAAACGAAATTGTCCAATCACCCATGTATATGCTTTTTCCCAGGGGAAAATCTATGATTTGCAGACTTCTACAAACACAGTAACCGAGGAACCAGTCGCATTTATAATAGGCGGTTCTGAGGTGGATTCAATTCAGCCAATAGAATTTCACGTGCTACCACGCCTCTACTGTAGTTCGGCCCCTGTAACCTCCCATTGAAAGGCAGATCTAACAGTCATTGGAAGTTCACTCGTGAAGCATTTATTCATATATACAATTCTCGGACGAGACATGCCGCGGTACGGTACCTTTATTCGGGACACATTTTACGCTAGTGCTGGTAGAAAATAAAGTTCTAAAAGTGAAAATTTTTTTTCCAGTGAATTGAAATGAATTTTTCATATAGACTAATTATCAAAGTAACATTTAGTGTTTTAAGGTTACTTTTGTGAATTCAATTTTTTTATTTACCCAAAAGTGAAATTCAGTGAATGTTTGTTTAATTTGTGAATTTTAGTGTTATTGCGAATTACAAACTGTTAAAAAAAACAGTGATCTTAGAAGACCATAACGTAAAGGAATATTAGAATCACAATGAAGGTACCTCATTATTACATGGTCTTATTTTAAAGTTGCAGGATTTTAAAACTTCATTTTTTTAAATTATTGATTATACTGATTATCAGTAAATTCTAAATGAGATGAATTTTATAGAATTTCTTTAAAAAATTAAAGCACAAAAAGTTAGTTACCAGGAAAGCATAACATTTCTCTTTATGGTCCAATACTGTCAACTAATGGGTATAAAAAACTGAATTAGTTCAATATCGACTCAATATCAATAAACCCGCAATAATGTGACAAAAGCAAAGATTTTATAATTTTACAATAATATGCGACATATTGACACATATAATTATTAAATTTCTTACACCAATATATGATTTTTAATTAATTCATATATAATTCCTGACAAAACCCAAGTAGAAATATCCGTAGCTCGCCGTAATTAAACACCGGCATGGTACTGATCCAATACTGGCTGTCGGTATTGACTTTCAGTACTGGCAGTGTACTGACTAATACACCGAATCAGTACTATGTCGGAGGTAAAAAAATATTAAAACCAGTACTGGCAGTACACTGTCATTCACACCGAATCAGTACTATGTCGGTGATAAAAAACATTAAATGAAAAAGTCTTTAAATTATTCCAATAGGTAGAAAACGATGATTTTTTATTTTAAAAAATGTATATTAATTTCTTTCGAATACTTTCCCTCAAAATTTTGGATGTAATTGTAATGTATTATTATATACCTATATAAAATATATTTATGTTTTTTTAGTTATTTTAGTACTCATTGAAATATGTGCATTAAGTTATTTATCATGCATACAATAACAATAAGTTGAGAATTTTTTTCTAATAGTTTTAAAAATAAAGCAAATGTAATTTTTTCACTGTAATTTTTAAATATTATTAATAATTAAATATTAAATTTAAAAAATTTTTTACCATTCATATTTTACAGTCGTCTTTTATTAACTTATTTTTAATTATGTAATTCATCAATCATTTTTGTCTGTTTTAATATTATTTACGGTAAAAATAATTTATTAAAAATATTTAACTGAAATTGATATCCAGTTTTATTTCATTAAATCTTTGTAAAAATTGAAAAAATGTTGTGAGTTTAAAAAATTTAAGAATAAATTCATTTTATTTTCGTGATTAATAGATAATACAAACTTTGAAATCAAAACTTTTGTATTAGGTGAACTACTTCAAGTCAGCACTTCAAGCCAGCGCGGCTGTGCGGTATGCGTATCTGACTTGCGTTCTAAGGGTTTAGGGTTCGATCCCCCATGCGTGCGAGATTTTTCGTTCTTAGTTTTAAGTGTTATAAGTACAATATTTGTTCATGTGTAATATCAATTATTAAATAATTATTAAATTAAGCATAAGTGCAAAGTAAAAAAAATTAAATATTATGAATTTAAAAAAATAAAAAAATTTACAACACAAATTATTTTTTGTAAAATAATTTATTAAAAATAAAATAATTTAATTAATATAAATGATAATTATTATTTTAATTATTTATTGTTAATAATATTTTATATATTCTAAATAACATTAACTATTATTGGCTTCACATTACCTGTTCGTGGTAAAAATGGGAGTAATAAGCTAATAAGGATGAAATTTGCATTGGAAAGCGTGTTTTAGCATTTTGTAAAAAAGTGAGATTTTAAGTCCGGATGAGTACTTTGCCAGTATTATGCCAGTATTATTCTAGTACTACGTTAGTACTGGTGAGCGGGACAAAATCAGTACTGGACAGCGTTACCAGCCAGGGTTGGTCCACTACTGGCCCAGTACGGCAGTCAGTACTATTATACTGACTGGCAGTGTTGGGTCAGTACTATGCCAGTGGCACATTTCTACTTGGGAAGTCTCTGATCAATATTCAATCAGTTTTGGAATAAGTAAATTATTTTGTGGCATTCCGAAGTTTGTTTCCGAGCCAATCAGTTTTTATTCGAATCTCAATTTTTACGTAACTGTTTTAATCCTCTTGAATGCTAAAATTTCATTCCGAATCAATATACGGATCAAAATTTTAATCCTTTTGAAATTTCATTCCGAATAAATGCGCTTCCAAGTCAATATAGGAATGATTTGAAATTAAATTTCAGGATTCAAAAGGATTAAAATTTAGTTTCAAAATAAAACGAATTGATTCGGAAATAAAAATCAGAATTTAAAAGAATTGAAATTCAGATTTAAAATGAAACGGATTGATTCAGGAGAGTTATGTACATAAAAATTTAGATTCAACTAATAACTATATATATATTTATATATGATGTTGGTTTGGAAATAATTTCGGAATATATGTCTCAAAAAAATATACTTTTTGAAACTAATTGAAATTTAGTCAAGGATATGAATAATCATTTTTTCTAATTATTTTAATTTTGAAGCTTCCATTTCACCGTCCGACCAAATTCAACTTTTTTTTAACTCACAAAAAAATCAAACTTTTTCGGAAACTAGGACCAAAAAAATACCCGTGTCTGGCCGTTCTGCTAGATCAAGTCGTTTGCCATTTTGAATTTTGAAAATCTGACATCAGATTAATAATCGCGGCGACCCCGAAAACCCCCAGATACCAAGTTTTATAAAATATTAATAATTTTTAAAAAATATCTTCACTTATGCGAAATAAATTATTTTATAAAATAATAACAATTTGATTTTTTATGGTCTTTTATTTTATCCATTGAAAAGGAAAAGTAAATGATATTCCAAACTAGTCGGGAATAGTAAATTTATGAATTAAAACCAAATAAACGTTCTAACTTTTTTTTCAAAAGCTTATATACATTCACAGAAAAATCATACACAGACCTAAAGTGAAGCGATCATTGAACTCACTATTTTGGAACGCAGGAAAAATGAGCCATGTAAAAATATGATCTACGTCGATTATAGCTCTATTATAGTTATCCATCCGTATAGGCAATGACTCTTACTTTTGGTTACATATATATATACTTATATATATATATATATATACTTTATTATATTTAATATTTAAATACCTAAAAATATCCTCAAAGAGCTAAAAGTAAAAAGATATAGAAATTGTTAAAAATGGATACGATGAAGAAGAATACGAAATAGATTTCACATGAAAAAAAGTAGAACTTTTACCCCCAAAATTGGTTTAAAAATTAACTTAAATTTTATCCTAGTTGACAGCGTTACCGTCTATTTGAATTAGCATTGGTTAAAATTACCCGCAACATTTAGGACAGAACACGCGCTTTTTTGAAAAATTCAAAAATTTTGATTTTCTTCGAATTGGCTGAACCGACGGTTTCTAAAAAAATGTGCGACCATATTCTTGCACAGGAAGACACTAAAAAAATTTTTTTTTACTTTAAAACAATTTAATAATTTAATTTAATTTAATTTAATTTAATTAATTTAATTTAATAATATTAACCGGTAATATTACAATGGGGCGGACATTTTAATATTACTGTAATATTACGTGCTACTTGTGTATACTGAAATGAAAAAGTTAAAAATAGATTTGGATACGATTTTAGTGATTTAAATGGATATGATTATAACATTAAATATAGATGTAGGAAATATATATATATTGGGTAAAATTCGTGTAGCGTGTACTAAGTGAAAAAAAAGTTGATCATAGTTTAATCATAGTTTAGCCCCATATATATATATTTCCTTTAACCACGAAGTATTGTTAGGTTTTTTCAAAAATTGTACCCTATTGAAAAACCCCATATAGGATCCTATATATATAGGATCTGATAAAATTTCGCAGAAAAAAAACTATATAAAATCTTTAAATTTTGTAGGAATTTTTATAGGATCCTTTATAAATTCGTATAGGAAAGTGAACCAGGATTTAATGTAGGAAATCACATAGGAGTTATCATATAAACTTCTATTTGAAAAATTCTGTGAATTCCTATGTGATTTCCTCTAAATTTTCTCTCACATTATCTTATGTCTATTCCCCATGTACATTCCTTATAAATTTCCTATGAAATTTCCTGTATAAAAACACAAAAATTCATAATAACCTTAATTAAAAAATTCTTATGTAAAATCCCATATTGTATCCTAGGTGTAATCTTATTTTGTTTATATATATAGATGAAAAATTCCTTATAAAAATCCCACGTCGAATCTCATATGAAAAGCCGTGTAAACATAACCTTCTAAGTTAGAGTCTCAGCTTTTATATGGGAATTTATAAAGGAAATTATATGGGAAATTATATAAGAAATTATATTGGAAATATTATCTACATCTATTTAGAAATTTCCCATATAATATCCCCTATAATTTCCCATATAAGTTCCTATATATACATAGGAAATTATATGGGAATTTATATAAGAAATGATATGGGAAATTATATGGGTAATCTCAATATAGATGTAGATGATTATAGTTCCACATTTACGCCGCCAGATGGTGATAATATTTTATCTCTTACAGATGTGATCAGTCGTGAATACTATAAAAGCTGCTAAGACTCTAACTCACAAGATGTATTGCAAATCACAAATTTTTTTCTTTGCCGATGAGTTGCAGTAATATTATTTGATTTTTAATTAAATAATTTTTAATTTTTGAAAACTGCCGTCTGCATAAAGTATATATTCATCTGAATATTCCTATATGAAATCCTATATGGTTTTCTTTATACAAATCCATGTGAAATAATATGTTTACACGGATTTTCATATGAGATTCGATATAGGATTTTTCTAAGGAATTTTTTATCTATATATAAACAAAATAAGATTACACCTAGGATACAATATGGGATTTTACATAAGAATTTTTTAATTAAGGTTATTATGAATTTTTGTGTTTTTATACAGGAAATTTCATAGGAAATTTATAAGGAATGTACATGGGGAATAGACATAAGATAATGTGAGAGAAAATTTAGAGGAAATCACATAGGAATTCACAGAATTTTTCAAATAGAAGTTTATATGATAACTCCTATGTGATTTCCTACATTAAATCCTGGTTCACT